CACTTGGATATTAAACTAATAACCAAATAAGAGACAATCTAGAAATGATAATTTTCAATGAAATGAAAAGATTTTTACAAAAAAATCTAATCGACGAAAAAAAAAACGTGTATTCATCATTAATCATATATTTAATTAATATCATTACATTTAATGAAAATTCTTCCTTACTAACGAACAAACATCTTCACTAAATAATAAAGACAAACATTTGTTATTGGTCAAGACCTCCAATTGTGTATTACTACGTTCCACCTATACCAAGTTAATACACTGGTGACACTTCATTTATTACAATGTCGCTATTATATTGAGATGGCATGAAAATCTATTTAACGTTTTATATTACGTAAACTCACACGAATTCTTCAAATTGCTTAATACAATTGACATTCGTCATTTGTTGCTTTTATTTTCAAATTAGTAAATTCATTTATCAGTTTCTTACTTCCTCAATTTATTACACGAACAAACTCATGAGACATGGCTCACCACTCTTTGAATGTAATTCCTCATTTGCATATTAATATGTTAGTGTAAAACACATTTTGCTTTTACTAAGTCGATTTTTATGCTTTAGAAATGAGAAGCTGTCAAAAAAATATAAAAATCACATTAGTTATAATCTTAATTCATTACTTTTTATATTCATATTACTGACAAAAAGCGTAGATGCAATACATGTTTCGATGATTTTCACTATTCTTCAGTATCTTGTTGTTTATTAGAATACGGTTGCTATTGAGTCAAATGATTAGAATATTTTATCAAACACAAGTTAAAGGATAACAAATTCTTTGTCAGTTAGTAATAATCTCTATCTACCTATTATTTTTATGACATTCAATTTATATTTTTTTACTAATAACCCTCGTAAATATATTGAGTTAAAGGTACCCGTATGTTGAAGAAGTTTTCAGCAATGTATTTGAAAAGTTACTCTGCTATCAGCGTATGACAGGATCGTGATGGAGTACCCTGCTGAGAAAAGTTTTAGTAAAGGGACACAGATCTGATATCCACTCGTGTATTTGTTCAGTTTCTATTGCATTCTATGGAACATTTTTCAACAAGTTAGTCGATTGAAAACTAAGAAGCATTTTGATGTCATATACTAAAATATGAGTACCTTAAACTCAGTACATTTACTAAAGAAAACATTTTTATTGAGATTTTTAACTTTAAGGAATTTTTTATCATTAAAAAGAACCAATATCATTACTTAATGTTTGAAGATGCAGGCTTTGCAGTGAAAAGCGCATCTAATTCAACGTTAGACATATTCACATCACGTTGAATTCTAATATAATCAACTTCTCCGTATTCATCATTCCAAGAATTTTCGTATTTTCGAATAATCTAATTTTGTTTTGACATCATAATCATATCCAACGATAACCATAGCATGATTGTTATTATCAGCTAATGTTACACACCCATCTACTTGATAAAAACAATGTGTAAAATTTTGAAATGTATTCTTAATTTTTTTCATTATTTTAGGTACTACGGTACATGATGAAAACGTACTATCATCAAACTTGGAACCAATATATATATACACTTATCCATAAAGAACAATAAATGATTGCTTTGTGTTGCATAACCGTTGGGTTTTCTGGTGGTAAATGACGATTGATAAAGCCATCAGCGGGGCAACTATTTGTTTTTGTAGCTGAACAATGCGATCAACAACGACAGCTGTATAAGAATATTTTGACGTACTATTCACATACCAGTCATTATTTGTGAGACAAATTAATACTATATACAAATAACTACTAGTACATCCCAAGTCATCATTCGAGCAATCAATAATTTGTTGTTCGTTCAGGTTTGTCATTTGCCCATATTGAAATGGACGTTGAATTTCAATTAAGGTAATCAAAGTAATTGCATAACAACTATCGCACTATTCTTGATTTTAGAATTGCTATGCTCATATTTACTGTTGATCCCCGTAACAAATTATCAAATGTGGTAGGTAACATTAATTTAGAATTTTTTTATTTCTTACTCGTTAATGATTTCATAAGTTTAACTGTAATAAATTTAGCTCGTACCATCGGTAGTGATGGGCAATTACAGCGAAAAATTCCTAGTTCTGATAGAATTTAGTTAGAAAATTTGTTATTACCTACAGAAAATGTACGATATTTCTTGAGATTCGCTTTGACGACTGATTAGAACTTGCAGGATTGATCCTGAACACGACGAACTGTACTAGTCTATATCCAATTTCAATTGAAAAATTCAGTTGAAAATATTAAAGTAAAGTACGTGTTTGAGTCGTAGCAGATGTTCGAAAGTAATGTGTATAAGAATGATAAAGTTTGGAATGTATGAAATATCTTATGAGTAGATATATCATTCGATACTAAACCAAGTTTATTTTTTATTTGACGGAAATTATGCTCAAGGAATATTTGAGTTCAGTTTCTTCTTACAATTATTTGTTATGAGTTACAAAAAAGAAGACGAGCGAAAAATATAAATCGACTCATTTCTGTGAAAAACAATGGTTTATCTTAGGTACATATTCTTCATCTAGATATTTACATTAAAAAGGAACGACAACACATATACCACTAAAGTGATAATATTGATATTGTTCCTTGAGACATCATATTTAAATTTTAATCATTATAAAAAGAAACTAATAACCTAGTTTGTTGCATTTTTTAGCACTAAGAAAAGTCGATATGTTCACATTTACACTTTGTACATGAAATATTTTTCTTCAAAAATTCAACTCATTTCTCTATCGAAAAAAGGGGTCAGATGTTGATTGAATACTGTTCGTTCGTTACAGAATGAAAAAAAAACTATATGTATTAAAGAGGTAAGCGAAAACGGAGTCATATAAAATATACAAGCCATTACCTCTATACATTGGTTTTTTTTTCTGAGACTCGGTTTTTAGTCAATAATATGAAAAATTGAAGCAGACTTTTCGTTTTCACGTGCTTATCTTTTGACTAATTTGGTATAATAGTGTGCAGATTCTGGTTATTCAAAGTTTCTTAGTGATGAGAGACTGATTAATATTTTGCTTGATGCTTTTATTTGAAAGATAGTGCAGTGTGAATCATATATTGCACTCTAAAAAGATGGCACAAACCAAACCTTAAAGGTTTCGGATTTGTTTTGAATTCTGTAAAAGGAAAAGTATTTCGCATTGTTCGTGTCAAATCTTTTTAGGTTTAGAAAATGTCGATGAATTCCATATTTTGTTTACAAAACTATTGTGACACGATAGAATGCAAAAAATATTTTCATTTTTCAAACGGGTTTTTGTATAAACCTGTATCGAAAGGAATAGTTCTGTATGGTTTGTATTGAACTTTTGATAAGTTTATTTCATAAAAAGTTTTTTGCAATTTTTCTATGAAATCATTTTGAACGTGAATGGCAGAGTAGAAGATCCCGTAGATTTCGGACATAACGAGTTATGTTTTTGTAGAATACAACAGGGTTTCATATTTTTCGTAGGCTACTAAATTTTTCATAGGAGATCGAATCGAACTGTCAAAATCAGGAATTTGAGTTCGGAATAACTCGGTCTAATAAAGTTTACTATTAAAACTCAAACTTGAGATTATGATTGGTCTATGCCAAGGGAAGAGAATGTGCCACTGTATTATCAGGTCAGCTATTAGTTTAGCTCATACATGATCGATGATTGAATGTAAGTTATTAGGACTTGCATTCACTCAATTTTTCGTCATGCGTTACAATATGCATAAATGTTTTCGTTTTATTTACAAGAGTGACGGTGTGAGTGTATGACGAAGTTGGTTATCAGTGCAATCTTATATCGAACGCATCGGTCTTCACCAATTGAAAAAAGTTTGATAGTTATTGCATTTTTCTCTGAAGAAATTTGTTGAAAGCAGAGTTGCTTGCTTTATTCATAATAATTAAGCAGCATTGTTTCAAGCACTATTAGTTTTATTTTCTTTTGTTCATTCACACTGTTTTATTTCTTTAATCGAAGTATATTTCATTTTCTTTGAAAAGCACAATCAAAACTGTGTTACTTGAGCTAAACGTTTTTTTTTTGTAAAGACTGAATTTAGGTTTGGATCATCGTTCGAAGAGAAACGTTTAATTCGTTTGAAAAGTTTGAGCGAGAAAATTCAAGATTTGGAGTTTAGCAATAATTTGATGGATAAATGACTGTTATTCTGACACTATACGTAGACATATCACATATTTATCTTCGAGAAATCTAACAAATATTAATGACTACGAGATAATATTTCTTCATTAAAATTTGTAAAAACCTGAATGCAAAAAGGAAAATGAATGATTTTTGAAGCCATTCTTATTAATCGATAAATCATGATCTAACAGAGTGGCTCAACCGGACCATTTCAAAAATTCTCGACCACTTAAGACTCTGGTGTGTGAATATGGAGGTGGATGTAAACCTTCAGTATACACACACTCATGCCTACATATTCTTTACGGTTAGTGTGAACTTCTTGGGTTTTTTTCCGATAACCTGATCATATGCATATGTAACCATAGACTATTCTTTTAATTTTATTTATTTATCTGAATATGACTGTATTAGTTCTCATGTGTCCGTGTTCAGATACCATATATTCAACGACATTACATCTTTTTATTTGATTGTAAACGACATTGATGTAGTGTTACTTATTTTAATAATACTACATCTGAAAACAAACTATTGACATTAAATCGAAAATATTATAATTATATTAAGCTTTTAATAATGATCTGTGTCATAATTTTTTTTTTGATTTTTTCTTGTTTTTTGTTTAAAAAAATGTTACATGTATGTAAAAATCATTCGCTTAAATTAGAAATGATAGTAAGTAATCAAAAATCAAACCATGTTATCAGAAAAATTAACAATACTAAATAGCACAATCCGAAGTAACATCTTAACAGTGAAGCGAAGCTTATTTTGTTAATTTTTCAACTGATGATATTCTGAAGTGAGTTCGTTTATTTTTTCTATTTCTTGATTATTTACTTAAACCGAATCTTGAAATACGACTTGTAGGCATAAATGTACATATCAAATTTTCAATTGAACATAAACTAAATTTCATTTTAAATCCATTTTGACGTTTCACTGTAAACGCAGAGATTGTTTGAAGTTTGTTATGAATAATCATAAAATAGTTTTTTGCGCAGATCGATGATCTACATATAAAATTATTTGGATATTGTAAACGAACACGCATGATTAGAAGGATTTCCATTGCTGTATTTGATTTATCGTATGGGATAACATGTTTTAAATGATTACGTTCAGTCGTTGTATTTACTTTTTTCATTGATGTTATGATTAAACCATTTCTATTTAAAGAATAGGCTTGATCTTTGAACTAAAGTATATTTTATATTAATGTCATAGACATTGAAATCAAAAGAAAAATTACTTCATTGAAAATCAATGCCATATCGTCAGCTGTTATGGACATGGCGCTGAAATCGATATCTGTTAATAGATAATTCATGTTAAATTCCGTTGAAAATGGATCTATAGAAAACAATTGTAACAATATGAATAGAAAATTTTCAAATTTTCTACTCACTACTGGAAGATATGACTGATGAACTTGATTTTTGATGTATTAAAAATATTGGAATAATTGAAGTAAACAATATTAGTCCACCAAAACATGAAATGAAACTAATTATGTAAATAAAACAGTAGCTCGTGAACAACCTTAATATATGATTATTTATGAATATACACAATATGATAGTCTTGAAATATACCTTACAGGATTGGCGAATCGAAGAATCGTACGCATCTTCTTGTCAATATTGATAAAAAGTGTATGATTTTTTATGTGTTTAAGAGAAAGAAAACACAAAAATAACTGATTACTTCGCTCATTGATCGATACATATATATATTCACCTGTAGATATGATATGATAAAATAGACTGTTCTTTCAAAATGAATCACAAACAATTATTAAGAAGTACAAAGAGCTAGTAGAACCTTAAATAACTTTCATTAAGGTTCATGGTCGTTGTAATGTACGACAAATTATGTATGTCACAATTCATATATCGAATATATTCTTTGTCACTTCAATTAGAAATGCATTATAAGAACTGAATAACGTAAAATATATTATAACAGAGCTAGAAAACTCAAATTAAGACAAAAGGAATTTCAATTCATTTCAAATTAATTCAGGGTCGGAAATAAGATTAATTAAAACAACAAAGTTCTTTTATGCCATTGGTTTGAAGAGAATAGACTACATTATCAGAGATTAATGTGTTACTAAATTGAATGATGCTAAAAGATTTTCTACTATAAATTGAGATAAATTGATCTTGAAATGAAATGAGCTCTCCAGCTCTGTATTACTGTGTTTTTAATGAGAAAAATAATTTATCAATTTTAATGAAAATGTCTTTTTCATATTTTCACTTATTCTATTGAATTTAATACAAATACAGTGATAAATACAATCGTATCCAGTTATGCACAATAATTAATAATAAGCATAGATGCTAATACGTAATAAATTGTTTGAAGATAGCGAATCTACAGGTAAAGTCTAATAATCCGTAACGTACTCAGGTTTAGTGATATTAGCGAATAATATGGGCGTTTTACATGTGAACGTTTATATTCTATATTCTATAAAGAACGTGTACACATATTACACTAAGGACATGTTAAGGTCAAAAACGATTTCGTCGCAATTGTTATTTTTGTAAATTTTGTATCAAAATACTTTCACTTATGATCAATAGACAAAAATTAAATTTATTACGCTAGTTTCATCTATTTTCTAGATGAAGCATGACATTCGTCAATTTTTTTTTTTTATGATAAAAAATGACAACTAATTCATATTGAAGTATTGCCGTTACATCAGTGACTTTGATGTTGACTACATTATGAGTGATGATTGGTTGTTTAAAAGACGTGATGAAAATGAGAGATAGAAATATAGTCACGCACTTTTTCTTACATAGAAGCTTTCGAAAAAACAACTGAATATGATAAAAAGAAAAATAATGGCGTCATTCTATTTTTTTTAAACATTGGTCAATAATTTTAATGCTTTAACAAGGTTACAAAATTTTTATGAGAGTGGGAGATGTTGAAAATTTAGTAGATAGCATCTTTAATTCGTCTTTCTGGCAGAAGTGGAACAGATGATGTTGAAATCATCGACTTTCTATGATAATTTGTCTAGAAGAAAGCGTCGTCATAAGAATATCTCTCGAAAGTAAAGATCAAATCGCTAAAATTCCCTTTCTGTCATAGTTTCCCACGAGATTGTAAAATATTTTGCAGAAAATTTCATCTTTTTGGTGAAAGAAAAGATCACGGTTTCCTTCCGAATTGATAACCCTGCATTCTAATTATCTTCTACTTTATATGACTAGAAAGTATAATGATTCAACTTTTCAAAAATTCGTCGAAAAATCCTTCCCAAGGCAAATAACATAGGCTTTTTTCTAAAGCCAGATGAAACTATGTCATGTGGTCTGAAGATAACTCAGATGATGGAATATTTAAACTCTTTTTTTTTTTTTATCTTTCTCATGATATGATTTTACTGAATGGAAAAGAATCACTTTCAACGAATATTGATTCCTCTATGGTATTATGACATGTATTTCATCTATAGTTGTATGAATAATTATCAAATCTTTGCTGCATTACAATCGAAAATTTTCTAAAAAATAAAAATAAAGTCATCATAAATAATTACTCTATTAACAAGTACTGACTATCATTAAAAAGTACTCAATTAGACATTTAGTTTTTAGTATATTAGAAAGATTTGTTTAATCTATAATTTCATACTAATTAATTGTTAAGACAGTGAAGTTTTTATTATCAATGTAGTTTCATATAGTCTATCACAATAATTAAAAATATGATGATACTCTTAACTATGGTTCGAACTTTTGAAAAGAGAAGGCCAACATGGTAATTAAGGATTCACAAAAACATTATCAAAGAAAATAGTACATATACTGCAAGTCAATGTGTTTTGTTTCATTATTTTGTTTTGTATCACTAATAGTGTTATAATATCAAAACTTCTGACCCAAACCTTGTACTTTTCAGTATTAATAAAAAAAAATCATGATTTTTAGAACAGAATCATTTCCATGTAAAATACTACAAGAACGACTAGTATAGATTGCCCAAAACTCATTTTACCAAGAAAAATGTGTCTATCATCGCCATATTTTTATCCAATGAGCTGATTTTTTCATCGTTGATAAAGGTATGTTCACAATTTATATTCATAAGAAAACTGTTGACTTGAATGGGAAACAATCACCTTTCACGGACTGTGAAAAAATATAATATATCTTTATGACTAAAATAAACGTCACATTCATTAACTATTTGGTCTCACATTTATACCAAAAATACATGTTTTGTTTCTCAGTGGGTTGTAAAATTTTAGCCGTAAGCATTGAGAAATCTGTTGAAAAATTGCAAATGTGTCGTATGCACTCTTTTGTGACTGGCACCAAAATTCATTATAATACTTATCTCGTTATTATTTATTGCTGTATTTGAATTCTTTGATAATGTTTAGTTAGCCACTGAGATAGTTTTCAACATGAGAGTGTCTTGGACTTTTCAAATTCGGAATTAAATAAAAAATAATAGTGAAATATGGAGTGTTGCCAGGAGCTAGTGCAGGAAAGTGAATCGAATTCAGCCAACTTTCTTGATCACATTCTTGTTAGCGTCCATGGATGTTACGACATGACACTAACTTCTCATATATGTATTTGTTTCTTTTCATTCCTGCAATATATATATCTATCGTTCTATTGATCATCATGTTCTTATGGTGGTCATCTTTTTTCATCCTTCCCGTTTTGTTTTACTATATTCTTTGATTTTTATATCTTTCTAATTTGCTTCTCTTCTTTCTCTCTTTTTTTCTTGATCGTAGTTATTGTGATAGCCTTCTTCANAGAATTTTCTTCCATAACAATCAACTGCAAAGAAATACACCTGTCCCATACCCACATGACACTCATCCATACACCCACACCTTTCAAGACCGTTGGTTCAGCACTCTGTATAGCGTGCGAGATAAAAGTAGTTCTGAACTACAAATTCTGAATCAACCATATTTTTCTAGGACGAATACAGAAATAAGGAACTACCAAAAATAAAATACTCTAGCAAATGTTCTTAGAACTTGGCCATTGAGCAATATTATCTTGTTTATTTCTAGTAAATCTTTTCATATCAGAAGAAAAGATAAAAAGATTCGCTCATTGAGGATTTTATATAAGTGAACGAGGACTGTTTTTAATGGTGTATTGGAAATTAAATTTTCTCTTGGTTTTAATTTCGAAACGTTGCTTACTCCGAAAAACGTTGAATAATTTGGTCATTCTTGCGTCCTGGCTTTTGGGCAGCGGTGACAAATTTTGACTGAATTAGTTTTTTTCCTGTTAAGCTATTTTGATCTGACATATTTCGAAGAAATAATGCAAATCAAATTGAGTTTATGCATAATTTTTTGAGGAAGCTGGTATTTTTTGCAGTTGATTGTTATGGAAGAAAATTCTTTTTATCAGAAAATTCTCGTTTTTACGATAAGTTCTGAATTAAGGCTCACAAGCTGATTGAAAATTTGTTTAAATTTAGTCGAAAATAAATGAGAAATACTGACTTACCAAGTTTCAAAAAGCCTTCCAAAAACTTCTGATAACTGTTTCGTTCTACACTGTTGCTCCTCATATTCTTTCTGGAAAAAATATGGCTCGTACAAAACTTTTAATTCAGATACTGGTCTTTTTAATTGAAAACAATCTGACTTCTGCCAATGTTTCTAAATAAAGAAATATGTTTAAAGATTTTGGCAATTAGTATTGCATCATGTGTTACTTGAATTGGACACGTAAAATCGTCAGATATTGTGAGAAGATTGCAAAAAAGGAACAATCTAAACATAAATTGAACTCTAGTGAATATTTAACAGTTCGATGTGAATATAAAATTTCATTTTCAAACCAGTATCTCTTTTAAGATAAAATGCTCGCAAGCGCTGCATTGAATTGTTTCTGAGAACCAGTGGCGTAGCCAGGAATTTTTGAACTATGGGCCGTTTACCAGCTAAATTATTTTGAGTACTGGGCAATAATGGGTAATTCAAAATCAATTGGGCTACTACTTTTTTCAAAAATTTCCTCCTCTCACAAAAGTTGATGCTTGACGAAAAGAGATTTATTACTCTCAACTAAGAGAAGCTCTATCACTTTTCCTGTTCTTATCTATAAACAGAGCTTTCGATTTTTACATAATCCGATATTTAACTTCGAAAAAAACATGAAAAAATAGAATTGTAACTAATGATGGTAAGTATAGTAATTTCAATCTGTTGCGAATTTTTTACCAGGTGGTATAGTGTTTTTCGGATTTTTTGTATATTTTTTTCACAAAATGAGCATAAATATATCTTTTTTCATATGTTGAGTACTTTTTGTTGATGTAAACGCCGTTTATGTAAAAAAAAGGAAGGGTCACGCCGCCTAAATCAGTCAGAATTCATCACGATATTCTTGATATATTTTTGTTACCTGTTTTTACATGAACCGATACTATTATAACAAACCCGTGTAATTGTTTGAAGTTGTAGTTTATTACAGATTTACTTGTACGTCTCTTATTATTTTTTATAACGCATCTTCTACAAACTTCAAAAACAATAAAAGAAATGTGATACGAAAGTAGGTTACAGATTCTGTTAATGCCACTGATATTCGTGTCTGACGAGTAGCTAATGAATATGAA